CATCCGATTGAACGAGATGATTGTCTGCAGCTCTTATAAGTCACAGACATTAAAAATGATGCTTAGTTTGTGCAACAGCAACATTCTATTTATGAAAATAAATTTTTCTACTGAAGGATTAAAAACAAGTGAAAAAACGTAATATGACATTAAAAGTAGGAAGTATGGTTTAACAGGTAATTATGCTTTGTTCCGTTTTATGAACGGAAATAGCGCAGCTAGTAAATAATAAAGTCACTTACAACTTCGTTTATACCTCACTACATCACGTCATATCTTTATTTTCACATAAAGCCGTTTGTTTACCTTGTCATTCCGCATCATCGCTTGCATTCCTTGCTCAAAGGAACGTCAAAATACAAAAATCTTCTCCTGTGAGAATGAGTCCCTAAAATCAAGCCTAATTTATCCGTTACTTCAGCTATATCTTAAATTACTTGGTAAATTCTAATTTAACGTTGACAAGTGGTTTGATCCTTTTGCACAAACTTTCATTAAAAATGCCTCTTTGCCTAGGTCAGCGAAAAACCGCTACTATGAGAAAACTCAGCACAAAATAAGTTTGACTTCGTTACTTGAGGACGATTTTCAATGCTGACACGATTTAGCAACAATTCCGATAAACTCACGAACAAAAGGACATGGTACAAAAAGACAACACGAAAGACAACATTAAAATAAATCCGCTTTATTTCGAATAGTAGCTCGCCTTCTCTCCTACGGTCTGGAACCTTCCATGTCCCATTTTACTGCTCGTATCGATGAACTTGATATCAATGCTTTCGACATTCCTCAACTTCCTGGTCTCGCTGTAGCTCTTGCAAAGCGTAATCACTCTCTTGACAGGACCCACACATGGCCCCTTAACCATCAGGTAATCGTTCTTAACCATTCCGTAATTTATGAAACCTCCCATCGGATTTATCGTTTTATTGGTGAGATCGAATTCTGTCTGGACGGACTGCATGGCGTTGCCAATTTTGAGCACTTTTTTGTTCATGAGCGTTCTTTTGAAGCTGCCCATCTGCCCAGCACGTGCCACCGTGCGTAACACGCCTGCAGGGTGCCATGCACCGATGCATGCTACCTTACGAATGCCTTTATTGCTCTTCCTGGGCAGAATACGCACACCAAAGCGTTTCACTACACCCGTAAAGCCCTTTCCCTTCGTCACACCACATATGCTGATCAGCTCCTGCTCATCAAACACCTCTCCGATTTTGACGTCCTTGTTGAAGATGGAGAGCGCATACTGCACTTTGTCCTCAACTGTGCCACCATTCACCTGCACCTCAAGAACGTGCGCCTTCTTGCTGTCCAACTTTATCATATTGATCTTTGTGTGCACAAGCACCTTCACCACCACACCACTCGTTCCATAGTACTTCTCGAATTGTGCACCGATCTCGTTCACGTTCTCTTCCGCATTTTCCTTGGTCTTGAAATTCTTCTTAAGCCCGCTGCGGTGGTATCTGCGCACCATACGTGCCAACAGGCATTCGCTCATATTCTTTGTTACGTATTCCTCCTTCAGGACCAGTCCACGCACACCCTTGGCGTACAGGCGTATGCCATACACACGCATCTCCGGTGCCTCCAAAATGGACACGGCATCCACAACCTCCTTCCTTATCTCGCGTGCCTTCTTATCGTTGCTCTTCCTGGTTGTGATCCGCAGGATGTGTGTCATACCCGCCTTGTACGCCAGAAAAGACGTAAGATGCGGCTTATCCGTTGGACAATCACGTGGAGGTGCTGGAGAGGGCTGTCTTATCTGTTTTGCACGTCTCTTCGGGCAGTATGCCAGCGATCCGTGACGGGGCGCCTCGTATTTTCTGCAGGACATGAGGGCTCGGTAAAAAATTTTTACAAAAATTTGACGAGGATGTCCACAAACACATGCCTGTACCGTGGAAACACCGTTTAAATAACACGATCACCATTCGTGTACGTGATTTTATGATGTAGCTGGAAAGGTGATCACCTGAAACGAAGACCCTGCGGTGTGCAATCGTACAATGCGCAAGTTCCAGTCTATCAAACATACCAGAATGCTGTAGTGTGTCGCTTTTGGTTTAAAAACATATTTTTTGACCAATATGATAGAGCACGGCACAGCCGTGCTATGTTTAGAAAGAACGAGCCACGACTGTTTCGTCAGAGACGAAGAATGTCAAGGAGAAACAGCAGAAGGAGTGTAATTCTAAAACGGTGTTGTTTTGTGGTGCAAGGAGCAGCAAATAAATTTGTAGTTGAACGGTGCTTTTTCCTGGCGTCGATGTGAAAAGATTTTTTTGGAAAAAATTGCGGTTTGCTTGCGTGGTATGCAGTAACAGAGCTACGAGTATAAAAGCAAGTAGGAAACATGATCCGGTCAAGAAGGGGATTAGCCGCCGTCACGGACTGTAAGCGGTTGTCAAAGAAAGTTTTAATGAAGAACTCATCCTCGGAGAAATACCGATCACGAGCAGTCCAGGCATGCACGAGCAGTACCGCTCAATTATCTTCTTTCTAGTGCACGTATGATGTGCGCAATCACATCCTCTCTCTTCACTTCCTGCTCTCCCTCCTCAGTCCACATGCTCACCCCTCCTCTGCTCATTTCATCGCCACCCACGGTGACAATCACACGTATACCGCTCTTACGTGCATACTCCCTCTGCTCGTACACATCGCTCCTCGTTCCCATGTTCATCTCTGCTTCAATGCCGTTCTCCCACAACTCATTCACCAGCTCCATCCGCTCCGCCAGACATGATGTTCTCGCACACATGACATACACCTGCGTATCGCATGCGCGTGTCTCACGCTCTCTGAGGATCGAGAAGATGCGCAGCACTCCCACGCTCATCCCCACGCACGGCACATCGTTTTTGCAGAACCGCTTGACAAGGTTGTCGTACCGCCCTCCGCCCACCACCGATCCTACATCAGGATAGGACGTGTAACATCCCTCGAACACAATACCGGTGTAGTAGTCCAATCCACGGGCCAGGGTAAAATCAAAGCGAATGTTTTCGTGCACTTTGAACGTTTTTAAGAACTCCATGAGCGCTTTGATTTCATCAATTGCCTTGTTCGCGATTTGTACGTATCGAACGGTTTCGCTCTCTTTAGCCACCGCACCGTGCACAGCACTACATGTGTCCCTTTTCTCATCAATTTCGTGTTCGCTATCTTTGCTGTTTTTCTGATTCTGTGTTATTTCACAATCGCTCCTCTTATCCTCAACACAGTCCCTCATCTGTTCGTATGCCCCATTTATTTCATTAAATCTTCTCCTCACCTCCTCCAGATCTGTTATTCCCACCAACTCTTCAATTTCCCTCGTCTGCTCCAATGTGCACCCCTTTGCTATCATTTCACTCCTCACCTCCTTAAATTTCATCTTGTCCAATTTATCAATGGCTGAGCATATCGCATTCATTTTCTCACTCTCTATGCCTACCTTCATGAACAACGCCTCCAAGAGCCGTCTGTGATTCAGTCGTACAACACATTCACCGATCTTGAACTCCTTCAGGATGTCAACCGCAATTTTTATCACCTCCGCATCGGCAAGCAGAGGTACGTACTTTCCGCAGATATCAAAGTCGCATTGGTAAAACTCGCGGTAGCGGCCCTTCGTTATGGCGGGCTGGTCCCGCCTGAACACCTTGCCAATCTGGTACCTCCTCATTTTCATGACCCGATGCTGTGCCAAATAACGTGCAAACGGAACGGTCAGATCGTACCGCAGTGCACATACGTCACCACCCTGATCGGACAGCTCAAATATCAGTTTTGACTCCTCGCCATACTTGTTCGTGAGCGTAGACAGCAATTCAAACGTTGGCGTGTCAATCGAGCGTGCACCGTGGAGGTTAAAATGTCTTTTGCAAATCGAGAGAATGGAATCGATGAGCTTAGAATCGTGCGGATGAAAGTCTACGGTTCCTTTGGGTGTTCGTAGTGATGGCATCAAAGGGTGCGCACAAATTCTATTTTTGAGGGAAAGTTGGCTGTGCGCTGACCCGTCTTTTTGATGAGTGCGCGACGTGCAGTAGAAACGCGTATTTAATAATTTTGGTTTGTAAAGCGCTAGTAACAACCAAAGAGACATAAAAACTGCTTGCATGGTGTGTACGTGTGTTTGACAAGCTTGCATCCTATGGACCAGGTAAATAGTGTAAAATACCCAGAAAAGGTGTTGTAGCTGTTCGTTTTCAGGTTGAAATATGCATTTTGGACTTGTTCAATATTTGATCGTGCTCTGAGACTATTAATCGTTTCTTGGTACTGCCCATTACCATGTAAGAATGAAAAGCCTGACATTGCTGGGAATGTGACACGTTGAAGCGGGCACAGTCCCGCTAAAAGTGTATTTTGCTACCATCTTTACCGAAACGGGCGCTGCGTATTTTCTACTCCCCTGTGACAGTTGCACAGGATGTAATCGAGGTCTTAAATCAATTTGTGGATTTGACACTACGATTTGGTGCCGCAGGAGTGGTAACATTAGGCATAGTACATTAGCCTTCAAAAATTGTACAAGTAGATATGCGGATGCAACTTAGCGAAATATTCGTCTAGAAAACGTGCTTATCATCGATTGTACAATAGTGATCTTTAATTGTGGCTTTAAACAGTGCTCGCAGCACAAATTTATAAGTTTGAATGGAGTTATAGATATTGATGAGATGTGCCACAGACCACATGCGAATACCGATGCGGTTGCTCATCGTTGCACCTACGAAACGTGTTCTTCGAATGCATGAATTGCTCAATTCGTTAAAACAGGCAGTCTCCCTGTTTTAGTAAGAGAAATAATACTTTTACCAAATTTAGAAGAACCCTTGGCGCCTATGATTTTCATGTATCTGAGCACTGCTCTGTTGATTACGGGACTACATGCGAGTGGAAACAACGATATCATGAGAAAATTCTGCACACGATTTAAAATCAACGGTGATGAGAGTTGTTCGTTGCTGTTTAATATCTTTAAGGAAAATATTATAAAGATGAAGGATTACGAAGAAATATTAGAAAAAGCAAGATTTCTGCAACAATTCGATATGAAATTCAGCAAAATTAGGTTCATAGAAAGTGAAACAGAGAAGAACGAATCACCCATGGATCGTTTTGAAAGAACAAATGGTAGCGCTTTTTATACAACTGCAGGGGAATTACATCTTTTAACCGAAGAAATAAAAAGGCTCATTGCACCTATCGAAGCCTTTCTTACAACCCTTATGGATAATAAGGCATTTGAAAAGGCCGTAGGCAGCACAATGGACCTAGTAGCAGTAAAAACAATGCGGCAGTATTTCAAAGTATTTATACTTGATTTTGGGAATCTCGAGCATTGCAGAAATGAACTTAGTTTTTATAGGTTCTTCATCACAAGTTTTATTACAAATAAAAATATTGTAGAAGAGTACAAGAAGAAGAGGATAAATAAAGAACTGGATGATGATGACAGCAACACAGTGAAATACTTGAAGGTTGCGTTTCTATTTTTAGCTATCATGTTTGCTGCATTCTGTTTATTGACGGTCATCGTTGTGATTTGTAACCGATTAATGAGGAAGAGGAGACCGCTTCAGGAGTAATATCTGGCACAATATCCATTAATTAAATTATTAAAATAGGTAACCTAACCGTATATTTGCATGGTACTAGTATTTTTACCTAAAACACTAGTCTACAAAGGCGATACCGCTATTGATCACTTGAATTGTTCCATTCTATTGATGGATTGCCACATGCACCTTCAAATATAAAACATAGTTCTTCTGCAATTTATACAATCATATATAGAAAATCTACGTATTAGGTCCATAAATAACCGCAACGATAGCTCCAATTACTACATCCCTGTGATAACTTAAAATAGACCTTCTATGAGCAAGAATGGCTTGTAATAATCAAGTCAAATTGGATTGGCAAGAACGATTGTATGTATATTGGCAACAAGAACAATCTTGGTGAAGAATAAGAGGTATAAATTGATGCTAAGGTGCTAAACAGTGAGAGATAATATAGTATTGCAAATAATGTGTAAAGAGATGTATAAGATGTTTCTGGCATATTATACAAAGAATTTGTTTGGTGTTGGAAAATGCTGGCAAGGATTGTAAGAAAGCACTATTTTCATAGTCCCATTGCTGCACGCAATTCAGATTAATTAGCTATTAACACTTATGGTATGGTAGGAAAACAGAGCTGAGTGTGTAAATCAGCTTATATATGTTGCAGCAGTCTTAAATACACGACAAAACCAAATTTTATCATTGAATAACTGCGAACAGAATCGCAAAAATAACGTTTCGACAACACTTATTGTGGATATATCAGCCCATGTGCATGCTGACGCTAATCAAGGTACCCAATAAAATTGTCTTCCAATATTTTGTGTATGTCTACATGCTTGTGCACAGCGTCAAAGATCTCGGTGATATCCTTCCCACCGTATCTAAGCAAAATTCGACTTCCTCCGGGATGAACATTCAGGTAATTAGTTACATCGTATACGCATGAATTATAAATCACCCAGCAGCTTTTCTCATTGTTGTGTTGCGAAACAATGTCTCGGTTTAATTTCTTTGGCATCTTCTAACGATATGGATGGTGAATAATAAATTATTGGGGGATCACTTTACCAAGAAATATGATATGTTGGAAGATAGCAAACCTAGATACAGTCTATCTCCTCGTATCAGCCTATGGATATATCATGAAATGATCCATATAATATTTGACCATGGATACATGGTCACGTGAGATAGCTACTAAGTAATGAACAGAATTTAGCTGAAGATGTGCGGATGGTCCGTATACAATGTAATTTAACACGAATTTATTGCCAAGTAAAATCTTGAATGCTCGAAGGAGTTGATAGTTCAGACAACTGAGATAAAAGCAAAATAACAGATCCAAATACTTGTTTCATCCAGCTTTAGCTTGATAATTTTATTATTGAATGCTTGTAAAAGTAATACACAGCTTGTTTTTGGTATTAGATCCGTATGATGCGTTATAAAACTTGGTAGGCTGTAATGTGATAAATCGGTATTCATGGTGGATCAAATACTGTTGTATTGGGCATTATTAACAAAATTTGGTAAATTTCATACCGATATTTTGATTTTTTGTCAAAATGAGCGGCACTAATCTGTGTAACGTATCAAATGACAGTATCGAGATATTTTGAAGAGAATATGAGATGTTACAATGGTGTAGCATGTCTTCCATCAAGTAGTAGAAAATTTAACTTCCTTTGTGTGACACTGTAATAAAAATCTCCCACATCAGTAATATGTCAATCAATTAGCAAAGGATTTAAAAGTATGTTTGTACAAAGTTAGCGAGTGTTATTACAAATATACGATCTGAAATGTCGCTTTAAAGGCGTTATATGCCGCAAATCAACATATTATATTAAAATTTAGCATGTACAAATGTTACTTAAGAAAAGTTGAGAGAACTAAAATGATGATATAATTATCTTAATTACAATAAATGATTGCTTTACACAATTCCGAATGTTTAATTTCGATTGTTTCCCCTAGAAACAGCGATGTTTATCACAAATCTGCTATTTACGAGGTAAAAAGAAAAACAGCAAGCGAGAAAATGATAATTAAGTACCGTGCCGACACAGCTAACAGTATAAAAGCAAGCTATCGCACCAATTTAAATCAGCACGGAGAAGCACATGATTGATGGTGCTTTAAGAACAGATACAACCGTGAAGAGCCTTCTTAAGGCAAATACACCGGATG